TAAAAAAAGCTGAAAAACTCACATTTTCAGCGTGACTTTACACAGCTATTGTTACCAGCATTATTAAAAGCCCTGTGTGCATGAAGCCTTAAATAAGAGTTCCAGTGAAAAATAAAAAAATAAAAGTCAGCAGCTACAAAAACTGCAGCTGCTGACTTTTATAAAAAATAGAGACTTACCTGTCCCTCGATCCAACAGTCCCCCCTCCCAGCAGCCCGTTTCAATGGCCCGTTGCCGGCATCTTCAGTGTGGGCACCCAGATGTGACAGCTTGGAGCTTCACAGCTGGGTGCCCACTGCGCATGCGCGAGAAGCGCTGCTCTTTGTGAATGGTCTCCTAGTCTTGTGGGACCTGTCACGTGTTTCAGAAGACTATGGGGAGGAAGGGGGAAGGATAACTTCTGCTTCCAAATGCCTAGGCAATCGCAGTGGAAGTGGGGGATGGGTACCTATCAAATTCGGATATGTGCTCCCCCCCTGCTGCTCAAAGGTGCCAATCAATACCAGGGAGTGGGGGATCAGTCCTTAAAGTGGAACTTCTCCTTTTGGGTGGAGCTCCGCTTTAACAATTCACATAATTAACTAACCAACATTTCCAATAACATGATCATCTTCTAGATGGATTCACCAGTTTTATTTGCACTGTACAAACGTTCTGATTTACAGAACACCGGGGCTCTTTGGGAAGATTCTGTAGTATATCTTAGACCCGGAATGTAGAAACCCTCAGAACTGGACTATCTGCATTTGGGTAACTAAAGAATTAAATGTGTTACCAATCTTACCAAAGCCTAACACACTTTGATAAAACAGTCATGTGCCAAGTAAAGTACAATTCTTTTTTCCTATTTTTATTGTAAAATGTCCTGTCCAGAATGAATGCAATGCACATTACAATTATTTTTCTCTGTAATATCAGTGGCTGCTCACTATTCACCAAGCAAATGAAATAATCTGAAGGGGACTTCCTGTGTGACATAGGGGAAACCATACATTTAATGGCAGAATTGCTGCCATCGTTAAATGTAACACCTTGGTGCTTTGGGCTGTGTATGCAATTCCCCTTGTTGGTTGCTAGGATGCTGGTGGCCGACTACGTCCTAGCAACCAATGATACAACTCCAGTTTCATTCTCTTTCCACATGGATAATTCACCAGTCAGCAGCTGATTGTGATGGATGCATCTAGTGTGGAGTGTTTCTTTTTTTATAGAGGACATTATAGTAGCATGTGTGAATAAGTAACAAGGGATGTTATATGTACCTCATACTCATTCACATTTACTCATTTAGAGATGAGCTCAATGTTGGCTGTTTGGATATGTGTCTGGACACTGAAAATTAGGGGCATTCAGTGTGGACCAACGTGGCAGCTTCTGGCTGTCAGTGGAGGCTAAGGAAGCAGTTGGTGTGGTGTGGCTGTTGTGTCCTTACAACTGACTTCACTGCGCCCATTCACTTACATGACCAGGAATCCATAGTCATGTAAGTATATTGTGGCCGAGATCATAGGGGTTACACCCAATGCCTATATATGGTCACATGGCCATATATCGGGCAATGATGTCACCCACTATTTCCACCTCTTCCCTCATATAGCTTGGAGAGCCGTCATTCAGCTTTTGATACTGGTGGGATTGGCAGTGTGCACTAGGTTATAAAAAAATTTTTTTTTACGTAATTTAAAAATTTTTTGAATATAAAAAAATGTCAATTCTGAATTTCTTTTTTAGGCAGTCCAAACAATGGGCATTGTGATTGATGTGGGATTTATGAGTGACTCATTATTTTTTTCAATTTAAAGGATTTGTCAGATGTTTGGCTGTCTTTCTTGCCAGGTGGCATCTTTTTTATGTGAATAAATAGGAGGCTATGTACAACTTACTCATAATGGATGTGGCGGTTTCTGAGGGTCCTTTCTTATTAAAGGGAGCTCCTAGACTTGATAAGCTGCCAACCTTAAACCCCCCAAACACCGGTCAGGACTGTGGTGGAAAGGCCGTTAACCTTCCCTTTTAAAAAATCCAGTTTTGAGTATATACCCATGTATTAAATGTTTTAGTACAATAAATATTTTTATAAATAATGCATTAACAAAAACTTTGAAGATGGTATTAATCTAAAGCCTTTGAGGGTTCCACGAACACAAACAATACAAATCATGAAGAGTGTCCACAAAACACTAAAATTCTGATGTGCCTTCACATGACATGTAGGTGTGTAGCAGTGGGGAACTTTGTATCTTGGGGTGGCAGAACCTAACGGGATTCACCAACCTTTGTTCTCCATCAGATCCCTTTCTCCTTGTAACTGACAGCAGGCAGTGGATGGATCCTTCTGTTAGTCTTCTATTGGCTGTAGAATCCACCCCAGGCTGCTGTCTATTACAAGGAAATAGCATACCCGATGGGGAACTAGTGCCTCAGCTTTCCCATCAGGCCCCACCCACTGTAACATCATTGATTGCTAGGAAGCTGCTGGCTGAGGACACTTCATGTAATCACTTGTAAAAATATAGCTAAGGCGCCTTTTTTTTTATATAAAGTTGGAAAAACAATTCATGTGCATAAGACAAGAAACAGAATAGTTTGACTTCATTTAGAACAGTAAACCCGTTGCTATGTATGTAATAATATGAGCATAATTATGCTGACAAACATGTCTATTATTGTTTCTGGGTAAGAATTTGATGACTTATTTTCTGGTTTTAGAGTTGTCCTTCCATAAGATCGGCTTCAGTTGGAAATGATGACGTGAAAAGTATAACTATTGGACCGATATACCAGAAAGGTAAGACCTGTTTTTAATAAAGAATATCTTTGGTAATATCTGATGTATCCTTTACATTTATCTGCGTATATCTAGTTCTACTTCACAAAACATTTGTATTTCAATGCTTGGCAAGAGGAGGATTTAGTCATACAGTACAGGACACGGGATCGTTCGTCATTAGATTGGGTGTTATGCAGCTACCTTCAGGTGATAGGACACTGGCAAAAACAGGAGGCTACAGAGACATCCCGCTATGCACTACCTCCCGCTCCCAGATAGCCTGTGGTTTTTCCTAGTGCTAATTTAGTCTTCCTGTGGAGGTTGTCTCACTCTGATGGTTCTTCTACCAAGATTCCTGGCTGCACCATAGCCACTGTGATTACTTTACAGGAAGGGCAGGTGGATCTCGTTGCTTTTGTGCAGCAGCTCCTGTCTCCAGGGATCATCACTCCTATACACTCCTAACATTTCCATGGATTCCACTCAACCTCTTTACAGTTGCCAAACCAAAATGGAGGAGTTCAGCCCATTCTGGAACTAAAGACTTTCAATGCATTCAGAATTTCTGCATGGAAACTGTCAGGCCCAGGGGCGGACTGACCACTGAAGCACTCGGTCACTGCCTGAGGGCCCGGGGTCAGTAGGGGGCCCGATACAATGCCCCTGGTACCCTTTTTTTATAGGCTTTTTCGAGTGTGGGCAAGGACACAGGGGCCCCATGATCCCCTATTGCCCGGGGAGCCCCATGAGTTGTCAGTCCGCCCCTGGTCAGGCCATTCATTAAATGTCTCCCTTTTCCTAGGAGACTTTCTGGCTTCAGTAAACATTCTGGAAGCCAATTTTGTACATTCCCATCTGTCCTCCCCAATAATAATATCTGCATTTTGCAGTGGGTGGTCAGCATTACCAAGTTGTGAAAAGTCCCAATCTAATTGCATATCACTTTATATCATTACCAGTTTGTCACCCTTCACGTTGGCCTGTCCTTGGTTTTCACAACAGTGCTTGCCTCAGTCTTAGCTCCTCTTTGTGCTCAAGGGATTCATGTTGTGGGTTACTCAAATGATCTGTTGTCAAAGGATCAGTCTTCCCTATCCCTGTCAGCTAACATCCAGCCGACAATGCAGACTCTGTAAATAGGTTACAGCCTCAGCCCAAGAAAATCATTGTTGGAACCTTCTCATAAACTAGAGTACTTTGTTCTGATGTTAAACATGGTCCAGCCCAGGATTTCCCTGCCCATGGAGAAACGTCTGTCTCCCTTTGTACCTGCATCATAATCTTAGCTCTAATGGTTGTTTCCTTTGAGGCAGTTCTGCATGCCCATTTTAACCCCAGATTGTTGTAACTCACCGTTTTGGACCAAACAGACCCAGTCCTTGGACTGCCCAAAGACATCTAACCTCCAAGTCCAGACTCTCCCTGGTGAGGTGGATTTCCAACCCAGTGCTAGAACCAAGAAGCCCTTTCTCCCAATGATGTGGAAAAGGAAGGGGATTTGATTCTCTCTTGGGCAAAAGTACATAGTTCAGCCCTTTCTGCTGTCCACGGTCCAGGGGAGAGTGATATAGTGAATGAGGGGTCCAAGGAGAGCGGATATAGTGAATGCGGGGTCCGGGGAGAGCGGATATAGTGAATGAGGGGTCCAAGGAGAGCGGATATAGTGAATGCGGGGTCCGGGGAGAGCGGATATAGTGAATGCGGGGTCCGGGGAGACCAGATATAGGGAATGCAGGGTCCGGGGGGAGAGCGGATATAGTGAATGCAGGGTCCGGGGAGAGTGGATATAGTGAATGCGGGGTCCGGGGAGAGCGGATATAGTGAATGCGGGGTCCGGGGAGAGCGGATATAGTGAATGCAGGGTCCGGGGAGAGCGGATATAGTGAATGCGGGGTCCTGGGTAGAGCGGATATAGTGAATGCGGGGTCCTGGGAGAGCGGATATAGTGAATGCAGGGTCCAGGGAGAGCAGATATAGTGAATGCGGGGTCCGGGGAGAGCGGATATAGTGAATGTGGGGTAGGGAGAGGGAGAGCGGGGGATATAGCGGATATGCAGGGTCCGGGGAGAGCAGATATAGTGAATGCGGGGGTCCGGGGAGAGCGGATATAGTGAATGTGGGGTCTGGGGAGAGTGGATATAGTGAATGCGGGGGTCCGGGGAGAGCGAATATAGTGAATGCAGGGTCCGGGGAGAGTGGATATAGTGAATGCGGGGTCCGGGGAGAGCGGATATAGTGAATGCGGGGTCCGGGGAGAGCGGATATAGTGAATGCAGGGTCCGGGGAGAGCGGATATAGTGAATGCGGGGTCTGGGGGAGAGCGGATATAGTGAATGCAGGGGGGTCCTGGGAGAGTGGATATAGTGAATGCGGGGTCCAGGGAGAGCAGATATAGTGAATGCGGGGTCCGGGGAGAGCGGATATAGTGAATGTGGGGTCCGGGGAGAGCGGATATAGTGAATGCAGGGTCCGGGGGAGAGCAGATATAGTGAATGCGGGGTCCGGGGAGAGCGGATATAGTGAATGTGGGGTCTGGGAGAGTGGATATAGTGAATGCAGGGTCCGGGGAGAGCGAATATAGTGAATGCAGGGTCCGGGAGAGCGGATATAGTGAATGCAGGGTCCGGGGAGAGCGGATATAGTGAATGCAGGGTCCGGGGAGAGCGGATATAGTGAATGCAGGGTCCGGGGAGAGCGGATATAGTGAATGCGGGGTCTGGGTAGAGCGGATATAGTGAATGCGGGGTCCTGGGAGAGCGGATATAGTGAATGCAGGGGTCAGGGGAGAGCGGATATAGTGAATGCGGGGTCCGGGGAGAGCGGATATAGTGAATGTGCGGGGTCCGGGGAGAGCGGATATAGTGAATGCAGGGTCCGGGGAGAGCGGATATAGTGAATGCGGGGTCCGGGGGGAGAGCGGATATAGTGAATGTGGGGTCTGGGGAGAGTGGATATAGTGAATGCAGGGTCCGGGAGAGCGAATATAGTGAATGCAGGGTCCGGGGAGAGCGGATATAGTGAATGCGGGGTCCGGGGAGAGCGGATATAGTGAATGCGGGGCCCGGAGAGAGCGGATATAGTGAATGCAGGGTCCGGGGAGAGTTTATATAGTGAATGCAGGGTCCGGGGAGAGCGGATATAGTGAATGCGGGGTCCGGGGAGAGCGGATATAGTGAATGCGGGGTCCGGGGAGAGTTTATATAGTGAATGCAGGGTCCGGGGAGAGCGGATATAGTGAATGCGGGGTCCGGGGAGAGCGGATATAGTGAATGCGGGGCCCGGAGAGAGCGGATATAGTGAATGCGGGGCCCGGAGAGAGCGGATATAGTGAATGCAGGGTCCGGGGTTTAGTAACACTTTAAATATTTGAGGTGGGGCAATCAGGCATTTTTGTTACTTTACAAACCCATACATTCTATATTTATTCTGTTTTTAATGTATAAGACAAGTAACATAGTTTTGCCATTAAAAAGTAAACTAATTTTTTTTTTAATTTTACTTTCAGCTGTTCTGTCTTCTGATGGAGGTAAGAGAGTGAAGAGAGTGAAGTAAAAATGTTACAATTATGTGCAGTTTAGTCATAGTGGATCACACTTGGCTGGTTGGTGGAGTAACACATTGGGATAAAAAGGACTAAATAAATAATCTGAGTCCCTATTCCAGGGAAGGCGTGTTCCTTTCCAACACTCAGTGAAGTTAGGTGGGATTTCAGAAATGTGGAGGTCTTCCTCTGTATAGAGGGATCGGGGTTGTCCATCCTATGAGACAAACTAAGAGACTTATCTGAGGAAGCCCCTCTCCAAGGATGGGATATGGAAAATTTCTCATCATTCCGCTAACCCAAGAACATCCTAAGGTCCCATGTAAAGGTGTGTTTAGTGTTTAGCCTCCATCTGGAAGACTGGCCAAGCTCCAGCTACTCTCGGTCTATTTCAGTATCTAAATGAATCCATTACACATGTGCCTGGCAGCAGACACTGATATCAGTGACTAGGAAGGATACGTAAAGTAACAGATCATTGATAGCCTGCATGAGCTCTCATCCCGCTCATTGTACTGATCCCGGATAGCAAGGACAGTCCTCACAGAGCAATATTCCCCAAACATGTCCACCTCCCATTACATTCCTCTTCTCAGTGCTGGGAACCAGAAAAATGAGCTTGGCAGCCAAGTAGCCGTCTCCTTTCTAGCTGTGGCCTTGAGGGAGCTGTGTGTCCAGGGTGGGGGTGGGGGGCATCATGTCTGACATCACAGCCAGTGTCACAGAGCTTTCAGGAACATGGGACAAAGTATTACATTTATTTTGCCCATCTGGAGCTGAACACTGTAAAAAAAAGTGATATATCTTCTTTACCTAATAATGCCCATTGGCACTAGAGAGGGGTGGGGTGTCCTTGCAGAATTTTACATTTCCAGACATGTTACTCTGTAGGCAAGTCTAATATTTGAATAGTTATATTATATATTATAAATATTTGAATTTGTTATACACATATTGCTGGGGAGGTTCACTGAAGACGTCTCTGGTAATATCTAATATCTTTTGGGGGGGGGGATAGTGCTCTCAAGAAGCCTCACCATCTGGAAGTTCCTCTTACCTGCCAGATCCCCAGATCCGGAGGCACCTGAAAATGTACAGATTGGGAGATTGTCATCTAATGGTTAGCAACACCTTATAAAAATGACCATTTATGTTTGTTTTTGTGTTTTGTCTTCCAGGCGCTGCTGTACCAACTGCAAAGCTTTTCCTCTCCGCCATTGTTCTCCTGTTCCTGTTGTACTAGTATTATACTGACCCATCCGTGTGAATTGGTGTCAGATTTGTAGGTCAGTGACACTCTACACATTCAGGAAGGGTCTATAAATACTCAATTTTCAAACAGATTTTCTAAAGGAGAAAAAAACAAGAAGCAACAAGTACAGAGTTCTCATCATACTCATTCAATTGTATATAACTTAAAACATGAACTCATTGTTAAGTGTACATTGGGACATATAGAGGGAAAAGAGACGTTTGCTGACCGGCATAGACAGGGAAGTCAGAAGAAAGAAAAAAGACAAAAAAGAAGGTCAAACATTCTGAAACGTCTTCCAGACTTAAAACATATCCAGAGTGGAACCTTCCTCCCGGGTGTAATGTACAGCTGGGGTACATATTGGTGAAGGGGAATAGGAAAGGGTGAGGAAATCTTAGGATTTAGAATTGTTTTTTGATGGTAATTGATGTATCTATCTACTGTATATCTGTATTCAATCACCAAAAATATCACCAATCACTATAGGATTGCAATAAAAACAGATTGTTATAGAAATTTATTTTAATTAATATAATAGAATATAATAAATGTTATCTGAATAGATTTGTGGTTTTGAATTGAAATTTTTTGACAAAGGCAAACCATGAGACCTTCCAGGTCCAGTCATTTACTGTGATCACCCAATATATACAACAAACCATGTTATTTAAAAAAAAAAAAAAAAAGAAAAATATGTAGTCTTTCAGTTCACCATTCCTTACATATCATGCCTTACCCACCAAACCATTCTTTACTTATCATACCTTACCCACCAACCATTCCTTACCTATCATACCTTACCCACCAAACCATTCCTTACCTATCATACCTTACCACCAAACCATTCCTTACCTATCATACCTTACCAGCCAAACCATTCCTTACCTATCATACCTTACCCACCAAACCATTCCCTTACCTATCATACCTTACCCACCAAACCATTCCTTACCTATCATACCTTACCCACCAAACCATTCCTTACCTATCATACCTTACCACCAAACCATTCCTTACCTATCATACCTTACCCACCAAACCATTCCTTACCTATCATACCTTACCCACCAAACCATTTACCTTACCTATCATTCCTTACCTTCACCCTACCAAACCATTCCTTACCTATCATACCTTACCCACCAAACCATTCCTTACCTATCATACCTTACCTACCAAACCATTCCTTACCTGTTATACCTTGCCCACCAAACCATTCCTTACCTATCATGCCTCACCTACCAAACCATTCCTTACCTATCATACCTTGCCCACCAAACCATTCCTTACCTATCATGCCTCACCTACCAAACCATTCCTTACCTGTCATACCTTGCCCACCAAACCATTCCTTACCTATCATGCCTCACCTACCAAACCATTCCTTACCTATCATACCTTGCCCACCAAACCATTCCTTACCTATCATTCCTCACCTACCAAACCATTCCTTACCTATCATACCTTGCCCACCAAACCATTCCTTACCTATCATGCCTCACATACCAAACCATTCCTTACCTGTCATACCTTGCCCACCAAACCATTCCTTACCTATCATACCTTACCCACCAAACCATTTTCCTTACCTATCATATCTTACCAACCAAACCATTCCTTGCCTCTCATACCTTACCCACTAAACCATTTTTGTACCTATCATATCTTACCAACCAAACCATTGCTTACCTATCATACCTTACCAACCAAACTATTCCTTACCTATTCATAACTTACCAACCAAACCATTCCTTACCTATTACACTTACCCACCAAATCATTCCTTACCTATCATACCTACCATCCAAACCATTCCTTACCTATCATACCTTACCCAGCAAACCATTTCTTACCTGTCATACCTAACCCACCAAACCATTCCTTACCTATAATTTCTTACCAACCAAACCATCTTTTACGTATCATACCTTACCAATGAAACCATTCTTTAGCTATCATACCTTACCCAACTAACCATTCCTTACCTATCGTACCTTACCCACCAAACCGTTCCTTTACCTATCACAGCTTACCCACCAAACCATTACTTAACTACCTTCCCTTACCCACCAAACCATTCCTTACCTATCATACCTTACCCACAAAAACCATCATTTTACCTATCACACCTTACCCACCAAATCATTCGTTACCTCTCATACCTTACCAACCAAACCATTTCTTACCTATCATCCTTACTCACCAAACCATTCCTTACTTATCATACCTTACTCACCAATCCATTACTTACCTATCATACCTTATCCACTAAACCATTCCTTACCTATCATACCTCACCCAGCAAACCATTCCTTACCTATTTTACCTTTATTTATATTTAGATTTATTCAGTATTCAAATGTATTAGTTGTAGCAGTTCACTTTTTTTACACTAAATTGATTGGTTAAAGCGCTATCATATTTTACCCAAATTGTTTTTTTTTTTTTGCTTATCATATTTTACCCCACCAAACCATTCCTTACTTACCATACCTTACCCACCAAACCATTTATTTTCTATCATACCTTACCAACCAAACCATTCCTTACCTATCATATTTTACCCACCAAACCATTCCTTACCTATCATCCAATACCCACCAAACCATTCCTTACCTATCATATCTTACCCACCAAACCATTCCTTACCTATCATACAATACCCACCAAACCATTCCTTACCTATCATACAATACCCACCAAACCATTCCTTACCTATCATATCTTACCAACCAAACCTTTAGTTATCTCACAGCCTAGTGACTGGACAGAAATCATCCACTAGCCTGCCCTCACAGTTCAGTTACTGCCAAGTCTTATCTAATAAAAATAAATATGTTTAAATAAAAACAAACAAATAAAATAAACTAGACTACTAAACAATTAAATGCATTGGTGCCGAGCTAAATAGCATATAATGGCCATTCTTTCCAGGGGACGAGGTAAGCTTCCTGCAGACTTCAATGTCAAAGTCCCCCCCCCCCCCTTCTTGACTTGTAACACATGGCTAAAAAAAAGGTTTTTTTCTGTTACTCTTCCATTGTAAACTTGATAGTCAGACTGTGTCCACTGAGTTTATGCCTTCACTTAAATGTTGTATCTTCTATGCTAATCTTCACCCATATATCATCAAAATACCTGAAAAAATAAGTTGGTGTTATTTCAGTGAATAGGTTGAAGGCTCTCATCCCCACCTCCTCCATACACAGCTTAGCTACAATGGGAGATACAGGTGATCCTATAGCACAGCCATGTTTCAGTCTGGAGAAGTTATCCTTTTACTTGGGATAGGTGGCGTAGATACAAAATGACCAGCAGGGGGCATATTTAGTGTGGCTTCAGATGTCTCATTTCAGATGTTTCCCTGCAGTCTTAATAGCCTCTTCAGCAGGTACACAA